ATTTTCATGATGTTGATCCTTCCAATCCAGGGGCATGGGAGTTTTTGCCACTTTCTAAGTTCTGTTCTGATTTCCTTTTTCAGGTTTTATAGTTTTCATCATAGAGGTCCTTCACTTCTTTGGTTAAGTTAATTCCCAGGTATTTTATTTTTTGTGGAGCTATTACGAATGGAGTTGCTTTCCTGATTTCAGTCATGCTTTTCTCATGATTGACATATAGAGAAGCCATTTATTTTTGAGGGTTAATTTTATACCCTGCTACATTGCCAAAGTATACTGTCCTTTGTCTTGCTTAGGCAACAGCCTATACTGTGATCTACCTGTTTTGGTACTTCTATCATAGCATCAACACACCCACCTTCTTCTTTGAAATGGCATCTTTCAGATTTTTCTGCTTGAACTACACTGGAACTACAGTTTTTAGCCTCCCACATAGCTGTAATCACAGGTGTGCACCATTACATGACACTAGCCATTGAGAACAAGTCTCACTTTTCTGCCCAATGGTCTCAAATTATGATCCTTCTGGCCTTTGACCCTCAAGTAGCTAAGATTACCAGTATAAAGTACCAAAACCCATCTAGGGTCTTTACTAAATGATCTATGTAATTCAATATACCCTTAACTCCAAATGTACAGGTTCATTAATTAAAATATTTATTTTCTTATTTAAATTTTTAGGAGAAATGTACTTAACTTTTTCTAGGGAAAGTTAACATCACAGGTTTTGTTGTTTTATTTAGTAAACATAAGAATGGAAGCTGGGTGCCAATGGTTCATCCCTATAACCCTAACTACTCAGCTGGTAGAAATGGGAAGGATCTAAGATTTTAAGCAATCGTAGGCCAAAAATCACCAGACATCACCTCAACCAATAGCTGGACTTGTAATCCCAATATGTAGAAGACTGAGATAAGGAATAGTTTAGTACCAGCTCAATCAGACAAAAGTGTTCAAAAATACCATCTCAAAAGAAAAAAGGTTGAGTGTGGTATCCTGCACTCATTTTCCTAGATATGGCAGAAAGTGCAAAATGTAATATCTCTTTCTAGACTGCACTGTACAGTAAGGGAGACTCTATTTAAAAAATAATCAGAACAAAAAGCTCTGGAAGTGTGAAATGACATGAAGAGTGCTTGCCTAGAAAGAATGAGATGCCAAGTTCACACCCTAATAAAGCCAAAATTAATGAATGAGATAAATTATGAAAGTCAATATATTCATAAACATATGTGCTGGAACTGAAAGAAGCATATATCTGAGCAGCATCCTTTTCAGTTTTACATAACACAATGGCATTAGGCATTACTATTAAGAAACGTCACATTTTATTTACAACTTGATTTAATGTTATGGAACATATGCATTAGTAACAACGTACTATGTATCTTCATTTCTAAACTTTATAGCAACTGTGCATTGATGTAATATGAATTTATTACAGGAAATTAATTACTACATCTGAGGCAAACTTGTTCCCTAACACTACCTGACTGGTTGCAAATACAGTTTCAATATAATGTAATCTATAACTTGTTTCTAGTAGAGTTAGTTTACATAAAGAAATTTTAATAAATTTTGATGTATACTCACTTAAAAATTTGATCAAATTATTTTACATTCTTCATTGTACTTTTATCACTATTCAAACATTTTAAAAATATGGAGAGGGGGGAATCAAATATAGTCAAATAGTTTATATAAATATGTGCAAATGGACCAAGGAATCTTAATTTTTTAAATTTTTATTGGAAAAATACCATACAAAGGTGTTACAGTTACATGAGTAAGGTAATGAGTGCATTGCCTATCGAGCATTGTTACCTCCTCCTTTGTTTTTCCCCTGCTATCCCTTCCCTCCCCACCTCCTCAACCCCTCCTTCTCCATCCCCAAATTTGTAAAGTTCATATTCAACATAGTGTCTTGTATGTCTCATCGTTACAACGGGTCAATGTGTGTCCTTATTTCAGCATTTTGTTATTTCCCTTCCCCTCCCCAAATTAGAAAAATGTATATACAAGATGCAGAGCAGGGGCTGGGAAGGTGGCTCAGAGGTAGAGCACCTGTCTTGCATGCATGAGGCCCTGGGTTCAATTCCTCAGCACCACATAAGCAAAAAAGAAAAGCCGGAAGTGGCGCTGTGGCTCAAGTGGTGAGCACTTGCCTTGAGCTGAAGATCTGAGGGACAGTGCCCAAGCCCAGAGTTCAGGCCCCACGACAGGACCCCCCCCAAAAAAAAAGATACAGGGCACTGGAATCAAATACAGTGCCCAGGGGTTATACCATGGGGGAAGAACATACAAAAGAAACAAAAAAAACCATAGTACATTAAAAACAACAGTGACAAACTAAAAAACATTTTTGTCCCTAAATTTGGGTTCATTTTGCAAAGAAACATAGGTCCTTTGGTTTCCCTTATTTCCGAGGAATATTGATGGGAAATCTCTGGGAAGGGAGAACAAAGGAGAGGAGCATAATGGAGGAGGGACCCTCTGATCATGATGTGATTTATACTTGTATGAACATGTTAAAACAGCACAACAATGTATAACTGATGTATACTAATAAAACTACATAAAACAGTTCAAGTACAAATAGACATATTATTTCTTGGTGCAGGTTGAAATTTTTACAAATTACCTTATGCACATTCTCCCTCTGTCTGATAATCTGTATCTCTACATATAAAAGCATTCTCATGAATGACCACATATATCTTTTAACGCTTCATGTAAGGAATAAAATTTAAAAAATTGTTTTTAAAACAGTGCATATGTAATTCATGTGGCTCAATTCCTTCATTTAACATGATTTTTTTTATTGTGAATATACCGTACAGAGGGTTTACAATTACACGGGCAAGGTAATGAGTACATTTATTTCAAGCATTGTTGCCTCCTCCTTTGTTTCCCCTTTCCATCCCTTCCAATCTCCCCCCAGCCCCGGCCAAAGTTGTAAAGTTTGTTTTTCGACATAAAGTCTTGTACATCTCATTGTTGTAATGGGTCCACCTGTATCCCTATTTAAATGATTTGTTTTTTCCCTTTCTCTCCACAAATTATACCAACATCAAATACAATGAAAGCAGGGGTTATAACGTGGAGGAGTGACATACAAAGCAACAAAGAAATATCTTATAAATATTTTAGAAACAATAGCAAGAAAGAAAAACCATTTCAGTCCTTATCTTGAGGTTCATTTGATCTAACATCAACTATCTGACCGTTTCTGCTTGTCTCAGACATATAGTAGTTACTGCAAATAAGGGAAACCATGGGACCTATGTTTCTTTGGGCCTGGCTTATTTCACTTAATATAATTTTTTCCAAATCTTTCCATTTCCTAACAAATGGGGCAATGCCATTCTTTCTGATGGAGGCATAGAATTCCATTGCGCATATACCACATTTTCTTGATCCATTCATCTACAGAGGGGCATCTTGGTTGGTTCCATATCTGAGCTATTGTAAATAATGCTGCAATAAACACAGTTGTGTTGGTAGCTTTAGTATGGTCTTGTTTATGAACATTTGGGTAAATACCCAAAAGTGGGATTGCAGGATCAAAGGGGAGCTGTATATGGAGTCTTTTGAGGAACCTCCATACTACTTTCCCAAGTGGTTGAACAAGTTTACACTCCCACAACAATGCAGTAAGGTATCCCTTTTGTCCACATCCCCTCCAGTATCTGTTGTTATTAGAGTTCTTGCTTATGGCCATTCTAACTGGGTGAAGTGGTATTTAACATGATTTATGTGGAATGATATTACTAAATATACACATCTAACTTTAATAATACCTTTCATTTTGAAAGATGTCAGTCAAACACCCTCTCTTGTTGAGAAGTATTCCCAAATCCTCTCTTTGATACAATGGACAAAGTGTGAGGGTGAAATATCTGAAGTTGGTGCAATAAACATTAAACTCACACTATGAAGAGTCCCAACAAAATGAAAATGATTTATCCTAAGATTTCTTTCCACAAAGAAAATTAAAACTCTAATCTCATTAATATAGATATCATTAAATAAAAATCAAGTATTCAGAATATTTCCATTTGAAATGTTGAATTTTTGTTATTGCTATATTTTCAGTTACATGTTAAAAATCTTGATAAATATATGAAAATGTTTCAGTTTCATATTTTGGATAAAAGTCAATGGTTTGGGGATATTTTACAGTTATACCATCATACAGGAAAACCCAAAGGAGATAGTAGCATGACTTATCTGAATATTTAGTTTATAGTGTCCAAGTGGAATTTTTGCTTGTTGAATTTTCAAAAGATCAATAAGATAATAACTCCAGCCCACACTGGCCAGTTTGTTTTGCATTCATGGCTTGATACTGGCTTCATATATTGAGATTTCTGTTTGAGCTTGTTAAGAGCTCTGTTTACATGTAGCAATCCTTAATATGTATTCAGATATACAAATGAAATGCTTTCCAGAATACTTTGGAAAATTTATATAAAAGTTAAATCTGTGTGAGATTATTTTACAATAAGTCCATGAAAGAATAAATATAAATTTCTAAATATGGAATAAAATCTTTGTCCAAGGTCTAAAATAGGTGAATGCATTGATCAGAGTCTTTGTGTAAGTTCTGTAGACAGTTTCAAATCAACAAAAGTGCACTAGCAAGTAAGTCAAGCAACACGGATAAATGCTGTGATTTCAGGGTTTTGGTTACATCATGATCCAATGAGGATTACAATCAGTAACTCATCATAAAAACATATATGCTACTTTTTTCTAATTTCCTGTGAAATTGATTGTAGTTGAAACAATTAGAGAGAGAAAAATCATGTAATTTCAACTTCCCTTCTTCATTTTTCCACTTCTTAATGGCAGTTATAGTCTTAAAATATTCATTGTTGATACTTTTTAGAAAAGTTAAAAACTGAGAGCTTCCGCCAGGGCCTTGGCAGCGGTGGCGACTTTTGAATGCGGTAAACGTCTTCTAAGTTGGCGGCCGGATCGCGCGGGGCCGAGCGTGGAGAGGTGCGATGTCCGAGAAAAAGCAGCCATTAGACTTGGGTCTCCTGGAGGAGGAGGACGAGTTCGAGGAGTTTCCTGCCGAAGATTGGGCTGGTTTGGATGAAGATGAAGATGCACATGTCTGGGAGGATAACTGGGATGATGACAATGTAGAAGGTGACTTCTCCAATCAGTTAAGAGCTGAACTAGAGAAACATGGTTATAAGATGGAGACTTCATAGCATCTAGGAGAAGTATTGAAGTAAACTTTTAACTGTACACTAAATTCTAGAACAGATACCAGGATGGGATATTTCTAAAAATATGCATATTTCATTATCTGCTTGGATTTGTTTTTGTAACAAAAAATAAACATTTCGATGTAATCTTGAAAAAAAAGAAAAATTAAAAACTGAAATAATAAGTTCTGTTGTGGATATTGTAATTCGAAAAAATCAAAACAAAGTTGATAAACAAATAGCAGTTGGAAAACAATCATAACTACCAGATATATGAAGAGTCTCAACTACTAGTTCTTAAATTATAGCTGCTTCCAGATTAAAGCAATACTTCTGATGGAGCAATGTGCTTTATATCCTCTGGCATCATCTTTTTTTTATTGCACTAGAAGCTAATGTTGAATTTCCTGAATAATTACATAAATAAACCATGCACTTTACTTATTTGTGTGCCCATATTTAATGATATATTGTGCATGTAACTTTCAAAAATATGATTTATGACATTTTATATTACCACAGAGGGGTGTTTACTTGAAATATGCACTTGAAAAATACCATATAAAATGATGTTATTTGATATATATTCAAAAATGATCTGATTTTTCAAGAAAATGCAGACTGAAAAGCCTACTTTCAATTAAATCATTCTGAGAGTGTTCTTAATTGAATTCCCAGGAGCAAATGATGTAACAGACTAATGAATATAAACATATAAATTATATTTATTTTTTTATGTTATAAAGCCTGAGATTAAAAAGTTCTGTAGGCTTACTGGTGCCTTTTTCAAACAAATAGAAAGAGAATCTGTATTGTAAAAGTCTCAAAATGTTTACATATGCAAACAATTTTTAAAGCAAAGATTGAGGGTTGCAACCAGATATTCTTAATTTATGCTTCCTTTTCAATAATGTATTTTCATTTGATATAAGCTTAAAAATAAAGATATGTTCTCAATGTGGTTCCCTAATTATAATATAAAAACTTTGGAAATGAGTAAGCCTTTTTAGGCAACCAGATACTGAATCATAAATGTTCTCATCACTTCATGATCCTAAACTTATTTTGTTTCTTTTTTGGTATGTTCAATAGTCTGCAAAATCAGTATCATATAAAAACATCCTGGAGAGAGTTCCGGGAAGATGGCGGAGGAGAAGCTGGAATCTGAACAAGCTCTTGCATAGAAAACAGTTTCAGAGTTCCAGTGAACAGTCCCAAGCCAGAGAATCACACCAAGTGTGCCATCACAGGACAGAGAGTTAGTCAAGAGAGGGGAAGCCAAGCAGACACATCTGAGCAGCTGCCGCTGCGGCGGCAGGGTCGCAGCGGCGACCACCGCCGCGGAGGCATACCTGAGACGCAGTCCATGACGAAGGAGCCAGACGCAGCAGACGAGCGGATTCTACTCAACACCAGTAAGAACCGACAAGGAGCGGACAACTTCATCCTGCACTTTGCAGACCAGAGACGACCCAGGATCCAAGACTCCGCGTGAGTAGAAGCCCCACTTCCTCACTCCTTCTCTGGGAGCAGAGGAGGGAAGGCCACCCCTCCCCCCCCAGCACCGGTGATCTCCATCTTGGATACCAACAAAGCTCGGAGGAGCGGCTAGCTCCAGCTCAGGCCTTGGAATAAAACTAGTCATTTAGCAGGTCACAAGAACTTAACGGCAAAGTGACCTCACAGACTCAGTTCCATCCAGGGAAAAGTCACCCAGCTCAGGCGCCAGCCATTGGAGTGGCTCTCCTCACCGGGTAACCAGAGCCAGAGGCTGCCCCGCCCTCTAGCAGCCACCACAATCAATTGAAAAACAGAAACCCTGAGAATGGCTCCAGGCTGGGTGCTGTGAGTTTTTTTTCACAAAATAGCCCCAGGGAAAAGCTACTGTTCGTTGAAAGGCCTCAACTCTACCCAGAACCTAGCCTCATCACTGCATCCCCCTCTTTTGTGATTCTCAAAGCAGATAACCCTCCCAGTAAACTAACCTGGGAGGGGGATCTCAAAATCTTGGGTAAAGCAGAGCATTTTTCTGCCTGTTCCAACAAACTGACTTAAGAAACCAATCAAGCCACAGGACTGAAAGACCCTAGTATATGTTCTGCCACTAGGTCCCCCAGAGAACTTGCTGACCAACCCCCCCTTCCGTGAAACTAAGCCTCCACCAAAGAGGGCGAGGCATGATGTTGTGGTTAAACCGTTAAACCGGGAATAGGGAACAAAAAGTCTCTGAGTTAACAATTAAAGGGCGAGTACAGACACGTCAGCTAACTCAACTGCCTGTGGAAAGCCCCACCGCTAACCCCTAAGTGGACCTCGCCTAACCCGTTTGCCTGACTCAACCCTACCAATCCCCACCCTAATCAACCATGCATCTCGCTTCTGTAACCCTGCTTCCAGCTGCCCATAAAAGAGGGTGCTCTCCTGTGCCCCGGCGCACAAGTCTCCCGATAGACTTTGTCGCCCCGGGTACCCGTGTAACAGGTTCCCAGCCACCGACCCGAACCTTGTGGATCTCGAGGTCGTGTGTACCTGGGAGTCTGGGGCATGCCCGAATAAACCTCTTGCTGATTGCATCCGCACAAGTGGTCTCGTTGTTCCTTGGGAGAGGGTCTCTCTAGATTGAAAGGCACCTCACCCTGTCGGGGGTCTTTCGTCTGGGGGCTCGTCCGGGATAGATACCCCCACCCAGGGACCACCGACCCATTTCCGGGAGGTAAGCTGGCCAGCGTCTGTGTGTTGTCTGCGTGTTGTCTGTAACTAAGTTGTGTTGTCAATTACTGTGCGCTTGCGACTTTGTGAGTCGGCCGTGCTCGTTTGAATTTGGCGGACCCGAGGAGGAGCTGACGGGCTCGTACTCCTGACCGCAGCCCCCAGGAGACGTCCTGGAGGTGTTTGGGGCCTGAAAAAGTGGCCCATTTGTATTTGGAACCCGGTCCTTTTTGGATGCGTGGTTCATTTGGGAGACGAGAGATCCGGACTCTCAACACAGTCTCCATTTGATTTGTACTTTCGGTTTGCTACCGAAACCGCGCAGCGAGAGATAAGTGTAGTCTGTGTGTGTTTTATTTTGTTTGTGTTTGTTTTGTATTTGCTTTGAGATTCACTATGGGACAAACTGTCACAACCCCCCTTAGCCTTACTTTACAGTACTGGAAGGATGGCCCGAGCCTAGATTGTCAGGTTTTAGGAACTTGCTTGTTTGTCAATTATAAAATTGCCACTGACCACCTGTGAGTGGCCCCAGTTAGATCTCAGCCTTGGGCCTTGGTTCAGGGGGTCTGAGCGTGGGGGGGAACCTGTCAGTCTGAGGGGACGGCCGCTAGGGATTTTTTTTTTTCCCTTGCCCCAGATGACTGGGAAGTCTCCTCCGCCTTGGAAGGCCCCTGGGTCAATGTCTGCAGGAAAATAGGGGGTTTGAGTCCCCTGGTAAGTGAATGGTGGTGAGATGTCACCCCATTCACTGAGACTTGATTTTGTCTTTGTGGCCACTTGGTTGTATTGTTAACTTCAGTGTGTGTGTTTTATGTTTTCTGGGGTAGGGAAGTTCTGGGTGAGTGTGGCCGGCTCAATCAGCAGCCTCTGGATTCAGCTTGCTGAGTGAGAACAGCACAGAGTTCCAGTAGGGATAAAATGGGGCTCATTAGTCCCCAACTCAGCCTTCAGTTCTTGTCTAGTTCTGTTTTAGAATTGGTATCAGTTTTAAATGTGGATCCTTGGTTTTTGTGTTTATCTGTGTTTTTGTTATTTAGTTAAACATCTCTGGGGGAATAAAAGTTCCAGCTGGGCTGGGTCACAGACCTGCTATGCCCACCCTCCCTGTGAGGCATGGAAGGTTACTGGGCTAGTTTGGTTCCCTTCAAGCCTCAGGCTGCATTTTCTCCTTGTGCAGGCTGCCAGCAGGGAGGGTGTAAAGGCTGTGTGCCTGGTTTGGACTTTTTCAACTAGTCCTGACAATGTAACAATGTGTAAAGTGCTCTTCTCTAAAATTGGATTTAAAAAAAAAAAAAAAATCTGGACAGTTTAGTTTTAGGTGACCCCCTCCCCCAGCCCTTCTCCTACAGAAGGGATTCAAAAGACTAATTAGTGAATTGCCTTGCTAGATAAGCAAGCTCTGGGAAAATAAAGCCCAACAAAGGTACCTAGTTAAAAAGAAATACTGTCTTAAATTTTTGTTTAAAAACTTTAAAAGGTGTATGTACGACTGATTGTGATTTTTGCGCGCTTTAAGATCTGTGTGATTGCTTTGTGTGTGTCTGCGAACATGTTCAAAGATAAAAATTGTCAGCATGCTGTAACAATTGGGTGAGTTTAAGTTTACAAATTCAAAAGGTTATAAGGTTTGAACATTACCAAAAATTTAAAAAAAAAAATGTTCACATTGTTTTAAATGGCTGTATTTTAAAAGACTGTTTTAAAATGCATAAGACTGTTTATACTGTAATCAAATTATCTGGCTTAACAAAATGCATTGGCAGTTTGGGATCTAATTCCCTTGGCTAAAATTTGGAAATAAATATTAAAAATTTAAATGTAAAGGTTAGTTTAACACTGTCAAAGATGTGACCTGTTCTGTCTGTCTAAAACTGTATTTCATTCGAGAACCAAGAGAAGAGATGGAGAAAAACTTAGAAACCAACAGAAGACCTATCTTTAGGGGTAAGGAGTGAACAAGCAGAAGTGCAGTTCAGCTGGCCATGCATGGTGGGACAGGCCCTGGGAGGAGTCCACGCAGGGTAAAAGAGGGTAAGCTGGCACAAACGCAGTTCATCTAACCCTAAAGAGTCAGATTGGGTGTGCCCATTCCATAGAAGGGGCCGAACGGCCCATCTTTGTTCTCTCTTTTCTCTGCAGTCAGACACTGAAAACATGATGGTTAAAATGAGTGATGTGATGACCTGATTAGTATTGCTAAAACTTCCCCTTGGATGTGTTAACATTAAAATTAGAAAGGCCTTAAAAAGAGGGCCAAAAAGTTATTTGTATAATGTGGCTTACTTTCAATTATGTTCTACAATTAGAATGTTTTTAAAAGTTATAAAGGTGTTAAGTCTAGCTTCGTGGTATAGTAAAGGTGACTGTAATTCCTACATTAAAAAAAAAAAATTGTCATTTAAGTTTAAAAGTTTTAATGTGTAAAAACAAGCAGC